ATTGATGAATACATTATCATGAGAATGTATTAATACCACGCACTTTCATGAATACCAGCAGCTATCAAGTTTTTAGCCAAAAAGGCCCAGAGCTTCTCAAACTGCTACCGTCAGCTGCAAACTCAGCTGGTGAACTCCGTTATTGATGTTTTATTAACAAACAAATAATTTATGCATGAAATAATATAGAAAATTGCAAATCTGTGCTTTTATTGCGAAACCATTCATTAGGCTTTATTATTACGTCAGCGTACAATAATTAAAGGAAATTCTGGAAAATCGCAGAAACCGATAATCAAGGGAGTCTCGTAATCACGGATCTGCAGATTGCGCACGTAATTTTCGGGATGGCCACGCATGTTGTAGCTTAACCTTTACGTCAGCCACCCGTCACCAGACCAAACCAGCCCTGACTGTTCATTGGTTTGAACAGCCCCGGCGGTACGAGCGAGGACATCGCTGACCACATCCCTGCCGCCAAAGCCGATGTAAATCGATGTGCTGCGGTCGATGCCCGCTGCTCAGTGACTGCGTTGACCCCACGGCCCACGGGCAGTCAATGGCTGTGCATTTCGTGCACTATGTAGCTGTCACTGTGCACAGCGTGCACGGGCGGGCGGCGGCGGCGGCGGCGGCCTTGCTCGGGCCGGCCGGCCGGACAGACCAGCGCCCCCTCCCCAGTAACCCCCCCCCCTCCCCCGGCGGCCGGGTGGCCTTGACTGCCGGCGGCGGACCGACGCCGAGTATCTGTAGTCTGTACTCAGCTGAGCGCCGCGCCGGCCAACACAACGGTCCTCATTGCCGCGCCGCGCCGGCCCAACGACATCGCGGAGTCCTGACGGTACTCTGTACCGCGCCGGCCCAACGACATAGCAGAGTCCTGACGGTACACTGTACCGCGCCGGCCCAACGACATAGCAGAGTCCTGACGGTACTCTGTACCGCGCCGGCCCAACGACATAGCAGAGTCCTGACGGTACTCTGTACCGCGCCGGCCCAACGACATAGCAGAGTCCTGACGGTACACTGTACCGCGCCGGCCCAACGACATAGCAGAGTCCTGACGGTACACTGTACCTACAGAGCAGTCCTGGCCGTCGGACAGAGACCCTCCCCCCCCCCCCCACCACCACCACCACCACCACCACCACCTCCACCACCACCACCACCACCACCACTACTACTACCACCACCACCACCACCACCACCACCACTACCACCACCACCACTCGTCTTGTCGCCTGGATCCGCCAGCGTCCTGGCTCGATTACTGGCAGTAACCTCAGTCAATAATCAGAGATGCTGCTAGTCCGTGTGATAGTTGGGTACCACCGTCGAGTAAGGCCCTGGGTGGTGTGGCCGCCGAGCTCAGCCCCTCTCTCTCTCTCTCTCTCTCTCTCTCTCTCTCTCTCTCTCTCTCTCTCTCTCTCTCTCTCTCTCTCTCTCTCTCTCTCTCTCTCTCTCTCTCTCTCTCTCTCTCTCTCTCTCTCTCTCTCTCTCTCTCTCTCTCTGTCTCTGTCTCTGTCTCTGTCTCTGTCTCTCTGTCTCTCTCTGTCTCTCTCGCTCTCTCTCGCTCTCTCTCGCTCTCTCTCGCTCTCGCTCTCTCTCTCTCTCTCTCTCTCTCTGTCTCTCTCTGTCTCTGTCTCTGTCTCTGTCTCTCTCTCTCTCTCTCTCTCTCTCTCTCTCTCTCTTCTCTGTCTCTGTCTCTGTCTCTCTCTCTCTCTCTCTCTCTCTCTCTCTCTCTCTCTCTCTCTTCTCTCTCTCTCTCTCTGTCTCTTTCTCTCTGTCTCTCTATCTCTCTGTCTCTCTGTCTCTCTGTCTCTCTGTCTCTCTGTATCTGTCTGTCTGTCTGTCTCTCTCTCTCTCTCTCTCTCTCTCTCTCTCTCTCTCTCTCCTCTCTCTCTCTCTCTCTCTCTCTCTCTCTCTCTCTCTCTCTCTCTCTCTGTCTCTGTCTCTGTCTCTGTCTCTCTGTCTCTCTCGCTCTCTCTCTCGCTCTCTCTCGCTCTCTCTCTCTGTCTCTCTCTCTCTCTCTCTCTCTCTCTCTCTCTCTCTCTCTCTCTCTCTCTCTCTCTCTCTTCTCTGTCTCTCTCTCTCTCTCTCTCTCTCTGTCTCTCTGTCTCTCTGTCTCTCTGTCTCTCTGTCTCTCTGTCTCTGTCTCTCTGTCTCTGTCTCTCTGTCTCTGTCTCTGTCTCTCTGTCTCTCTCTCTGTCTCTCTCTCTCTCTCTATCTCTCTCTCTCTCTCTCTCTCTCTCTCTCTCTCTCTCTCTCTCTCTCTCTCTCTCTCTCTCTCTCTCTCTCTCTCCGCACCGTCCCCTCGGCGGCTGGCCAGCCATTCCAGTCTCCAATTGGACGGCCGTATGGCCCACAGTATGGCTCGCAGTGTGGCCTGCAGTATGGCTCGCAGTGTGACCTGCAGTATGGCCTGCCGCCTGGCCCGCAGTAAGTATGGCCCGCCGTTTGGTCCGCAATGTGACCTACAGTTTGGTCCGCAGTGTGGCCTGCAGTTTGGTCCGCAGTGTGGCCTGCAGTATGGCTCGCAGTGTAGCCTGCAGTATGGCTCGCAGTGTGGCCCGCCGTTTGGTCCGCAGTGTGACCTGCAGTATGGCTCGCAGTGTGGCCTGCAGTATGGGTCGCAGTGTGGCCTGCAGTATGGCCCGCAGTGTGACCCGCAGTATTGTCCGCAGTGTGACCTGCAGTATGGTCCGCAGTGTGGCCCACAGTATGGCTCGCAGTGTGGCCTGCAGTGTGGTCTGCTCTGCACTCTGCAGTATGGTCCTTGTGGAGTAGGTACGCACCAGTTGGCGTCTGTAAGACTGCTGGTCTGCCGCCGGTAGGTACTGCGGCGCCGACTATCTCGTGCGGGAGCACACGTCCCACGTGTCGTCTTTGTCTTTGTGGTATTCTATTGTGTAAGCAGCTGACGCGGTTGCTAGCGATCTCAGCTGGCGCGGCGTTTGATCCCAATGCTGTTGACGTCATCTTCATGCACATCCTGGCCAGATCCTATATCCCGCGGACCGGGAATTCTCTGAAAAGTGTCGCTTTCCCTACCGTGATGGTATCATGAATTGTGACTTATTAAAACACGTGTTTGTGCTTACTTATCATTGCCTGCATTTTTCTGTTGTGACTTGTGGATACTTATCCACGGCTGGTCATCCATTAGGTACTCTGCAGTCCATTCAGCGGCTCAGCTCCTCCTATTACGGACCTAGTACCGGTTACCAGCTGTCCGGCGCTCTGTCCCGATCTTCTGTCGGTGGTAGTAGGCCGGTGGGGGAGTGCGACCTCCCACAGTCGGGGCCGGGACCGAACTCCGGAGCCGCACCGCGCGCCGAGCTCCGCGCCCCGCCGGCGCGGCGCTCCAGCGGCGGCCAGAGAGGGTCAGACACCAGCGCGCGGCGCCGGCGAGTGTGTGTTTGTTTGGCCAGCGGCTGCAGTCGGAGGCGCCGCAGCAGCGTCAGCCGCGCCCTGCGCCCTGTGTTGCATCGACACAAAGTGTCAGAGTTACGGCTCAGAGTGTCAGAGTTACTGCACAAAATGTTAGAGTTACGGGACAATGTCAGAGTTGCAGTACAAAGTGTTAAAAGTGTTCAGAGTTACGGGACGGTGTCAGAGTTGCAGTACAGAGTGTCAGAGTTACTGCACAAAGTGTTACAGTTACGGGGCAATGTCAGAGTTACGGGGCAACGACCCCTTTCTATCGGTTTTTCCATGCGCGATAAAGTGTTTGATGCCGACAATGTATTTATTGTTGGCGACCGCGAGATCCTTTGTTGGGAGGCGGGGCTGCGGTCGGCCCTGTATCTATGCGTGTATGGGGGGGCTGCGGTCGGCGCTGTGTCTATGCGTGTATGGGGGGGGGGTTGCGGTCGGCCCTGTGTCTATGTTTGTGTGTGTGTGGGGGGGGGGCTGCGGTCGGCCCTGTGTCTATGTGTGTATGGGGGGATGCGGTCGGCCCTGTGTCTATGTGTGTATGGGGGGATGCGGTCGGCCCTTTGTCTATGTGGGGGGGGGGGGGTGCGGTCGGCCCTGTGTCTATGTGTGTGTGGAGGGGGGGCTGCGGTCGGCCCTGTGTCTATGTGTGTGTGTGGGGGGGAGGGATGCGGTCGGCCCTGTGTCTATGGCGGGGGGGGGATATTGCGGTCGGCCCTGTGTCTATGGCGGGGGGGGGGTTCTGCGGTCGGCCCTGTGTCTATGGCGGGGGGGCTGCGATCGGCCCTGTGCCTATGTGGGGGGGGGGGTATTGCGGTCGGCGCCCTGTGTGTTTATGGCGGGGGGGGGGGGTGCGGTCGGTCCTGCATGTCTATGTGTGTGTGTGTGTGGGTGGGTGGGTGGGGGGGGGCTGCGGTCGGCCCTGTGGTGCGGAGCTGCACCTACCATCAGTCCGGGCTGAGCTGGATCGGAAATCGAACCGGCGCGTCAGAGGTCAGAGGCCCCTGTCGAGGACTGTCATGGGGTACCTACCGAGAGGACAGAAAGGGACGCCGAGAGGACAGGCACGGGGTACCGAGGGCCGAGGGGACAGGGACGGGACGGGGTACCGAGGGAACAGGGACAGGGACGGGGTACCGAGAGGTACGGAGAGGACACAGTGGGTGTGCCAGAAGGCCGGGGTTGGGGACCACGGCTGCCCTCTCCAGTCCCCGTCCTTTGGACTCGTAGGCTGTCCTCCCGTAGACTCCGAGTGACCGCCCTCCAAGTACCTACTCGGAGTGACTCCGAGTACTTTGGACTTATGGACTGCCTCTCCCTATACTTCAGGTTCCGAGTGACCGCCCTGTCCCCATAATTTGATCTGCAAGTGACCGCCATCTCCCCATAATTTGATCTGCAAGTGACCGCAATCTCCCCATACTTTGGAGGAGAGATCTGCCCGCTGACTGCCCTCGCCACCATTTACCCTGCCGGCTGACCCCGCCCCCCCCCCCCCGCCGGCCGACCCCTCCTTGCAGTGTGACCCGCCCTCTGACCCCCCCTTCCCCGCCCGCTGCCGGCAGGTGAAGCCCGATGACCGCACCACCCAGATCTCCAGCATCCTGGGGCAGTTCGAGCAGGTGGCGCCCATCGTGCGCTCGGAGCGCACGCGCAACAGCCTGGTGGGCGCGGACGTGATGCCGTGCACGCCGGCGCCGCTGCACCACGACCACGACCACCTGTTCGAGCCGCCGCCGCCGCCGCCGCCGCCGCCGCGCCAGGAGCGGCGGCACGCTCCGGCCTTCCCCGCGCCGCCCCCGCCCCCGCCCCCGCCGCAGAGGGCGGCTAGAGCTGGCGGCTCGAGGGCCGAAAAGGTGAGCGGAGGTGCTGCGCTGGGGTGGCGGGAGGGGCTGGCTAATACTTATCAGGGCAGTCAGCCGCATCATGTCCCACTTTATCAGATACTTTTTCATATGAATTCGGCTGGTTAAAGACCGGTTTTAGCGAGCTCAAGCTACACAGGCGTACCTTCTCCGAAAAGACGTTTTTCACACCCTCCGCCATCAACCCGCGCATGACTGGCGGGGGGGGGGGGGGCTTTACAGAGCCCCCCTCCCGTTTCTCGGCAATATCTTCCAAACCGTTTAACTTATCAACACGAAAATTGCGGTACCTTGAGCGGCATCAATTGGACACTATGTGTCCAAATTTCAACTTTAGCTACCATAAGTCGGCCGAAAATGACATCAGAGACAGAGTGACGTAATGTCGGCCGATTTTTATGCAAAACATTGAACTACGGCAATCGCTCTCAGGAGCTCAGGTTTTAAGCTATATCTAATTTCTTTGCATGAGTGGACTTAGGATGAACGTGGCTATCAAACTGCTATCTCATATTTTTTATTTTCAAAATTTAGAAAAATATATGGATATAGGAGAGACCCGGGAGGTATGGGCCGGCTTTTTGAAAAAGGCAATTTTCTTCCAGTGAACAGTGGCTAGACCCGGTTTTTCACTTTGTTTACGTGAAATTGCCTTTCGCCTGCAAAGTGTGCCTGTTATTAGGCATCTGGGCTGGAATCAACTATTTTGTCTCGAGATAACTTTCAATAAATCATGCGCTCTTTCGATCCATCAAAATACACCGGAAGGGCCATGGCCCGGGAGGTACGGGCCGGTGCCATGTTTCATTTTTTATCGACAATGATAACAATACTCGTAACTGGTATCTACCTTGATCTCTCTTAGAGCCCAGGAACCGCATAAGCGGCCAATAGCTTACTTCATGGAGGTCACTTGGGCACATATGTATTTTGGTAAAGTCAGTCATGCTCCATGAAATAAGATAAATAATATTTTTATGTTCGAATTAAATTTGTAGTCAAATTTTCGACCTTGCGCGACAAAAATCAAAGTTATTGAAGAGGACATTCAATGAAAGCATCATTTTATTGATTTAGGATCAACGGGGGTGGGTGGCCCGAACCTCCCGGTTAGGACGCCTGAATGTGCATAGCATCTCAGCTCATAATCTTGCAAGAAAGCTTCCAATTGTCTATCCAGTCTTAATTTGCATGCTTAAAACTTAATGTTAGCGATGGTCTGACATCATAAAACGAGCCTGGTTCAAATTAATCACGAATTTTCTGTATGTACCGTATTTTACTCGGAGAGGGCAAAAACGCTTATTGCCAAAGAAGACTGAGGAAGATTTTGGAAATCACGTGGGTTTTATAACGGAATGGCCGCTACCAGTTTACGCGGTCAAATGTGTAAAAATACGCAACACTTCTTCAAAGCTGCGATGACCCATATACCTCCCGGGGACCCATACCTCCCGGGACCCATACCTCTCCCCTACAATTATTTGACTTTTTGAAAAAAGGATATATGGAACAGACCACTCATCTGTGACCTACTAATTACTATAGACAGTTTTAGCCCATTATCTTCAAAAATGGCCATGTTATACTCATTATAGCAAAGATTTCATAGATATAGATTTTTTAAATCCATTATTCAGTACGTTTTTGACATCGTACAGCAATGTAAATAGTACTATCGTGTTCTTGAGCTCAATTTGCATCTGATAGACAGTTTTCTGTTTGTTTTCATTTTTGACCTGGAAGCAGGGTTGTGCTCGACTCAAAAAAATTTGCCGACTCGACTCATCATTCAACTTCAGAAAGCCCTGACTCAACTCTGACTCAAACAAGGAGCCGATTTTTTCCCTTGACTCAACTCATGACTCAAGCGGCTCAATGAAAATATGATTTGACTCAAACTTGACTCAAATTTTTTGTTGAGTCAAGTGATTTGACTCGAAATTGACTCAGATAAAAAAGTTGTTGAGCGGGGGGGGTGAAAAAAAATCATGCAGCAGGGCCAGGCCTAAGTTGTTAAAGGGACTATCCCACCTTCTAAAATGTTGTTAAAACCAGTTAAATTGTGCCCGACTTTATAGATTGGATGACCAGGAACACGGTTCTGGCATTTATTTTTCATTAAACATCTTAGGCTTCCCATATTCCAAACACAAACTTTCAAATATGTGACGTCACAGCCCAAAATTACCTCCTTCCCCAGGCCACATTACTGTCATAAAGCTGATTCTTTTTACTCTGTAGGCACCACAACAAAGTTCAGACCAAGTTTTAAGCGATTTTTCAACGAACAAACCCATTTAAATCAGAATGACTAAATGAGGTGACGTCACACTAACGGTCGCTCCATGTTGAAGATGGGGCCTTGTACAGTCTGTCTTAAAAGTACCGCGCAAAGTGGCGGTGGATCCATCAAGCCTGACCGAGAAAGGGTCTGTTTTAATTTAAAAGTCACCGACCAATTGACCTAGGAAATGGATAAGGATGTCAGTTGCTTCAGTGACCCAAATTTAGCAGGCCCTTGCTCAGTCAGGCTCGATGGATCCACCGTCACTTTGCGCGGTACTTTTAAGACAGACTGTACAAGGCCCATTTTCAAATGAAGGGAACGAATTTCTTCAACACCAAGAGGCCGCGGAGGTTGCAACCTAGATAGATAGTGGTTTCTGAACCTCGCCGCAAACTTCGCTATCTCAACTCAAACCCCATGTTAAAGGTGGGATAGTCCCTTTAAGCAGGGGGAGAATGAAAAGCTGATGTAGACTGTTTCTAGAAAGATGAGTCAGCTGACTCATATTCCTAAATGTTTTTGACTCAACTCAATGTCAAAAGTTATTTTACTGACTCAACTCTGACTCAACTCAACGCCTTAATATTTTTGTCCGACTCAACTCTGACTCAACTCAACAGCTCAACATTTTATCCGACTCGACTCAAATCTGACTCATTTGAGTCAGAGTTGAGTCAAATTTCTGACTCGACTCATGAGTCAAGCACAACCCTGCCTGGAAGTGACCTGACCTCAGATAAATTCAGCTGAACTTCACCGCAAATGACACAGACGACATTACTGTCGAAAGCTTTGAGTAAAATTGACCATAAAACATGCGTCACGTGACCGATGCATGATATAAAATTTCCGTGACCTAGGATGACCTGGCCTCGACCTTAAAAACTCGAAGCAAAAGTTCGGTACCCTCAGGGTATCTAAGGCATATATCTAAGTTAGCCGGCAGCCAGAGCCTAAATTGTGAACAAACCAAAATGCTGATAATTTTTACTTTGACCTGACTTGTGACGTCATTGGTGACGTCGAGGTCAAGTTTCGGAGATAGGAGGGGGCCTCTGTAGAGTCCCTTCCCCCCAGACACTCGCGTTATGGAAAATACCCCAGTCATGCGCTGGTTACATAGCTGTTTCTCTGATATTTTGGGGCCTTGGGGCCGCCACTCATAAGCTCATGAAATTCTTGCAAGGAGCTGTGATGTGCAGCAGTACGTGGCACACTATTTCTCTGCGATGGCGTCGTTCCAATTTCCACAGTATCCTGGATCCTCTCGCCCGCCGAGGCACCCCAGTATCCGCAGCATCCTGGACCCTCCGGCCCACCGCGGCACCCCAGTATCCACATTATCCTGGACCCTGCCTCCCACCGCGGCACCCCAGTATCCGCAGTATCCTGGATCCAGCCGCCTGCTGCGGCAGTCCAGGCTGTTTGTGAGGCTCTCTGAGCCGTGTGCTGAGGGTCGCCCCCGCGCCGCGCCGGCTCACCTGCCCGGGGTTCGGGTCATGGGGCGGCTCGCGGACCCTGCCGACTGACGGCAGTCGCGCGCCTGCACTGTCGGCGGACTGACGGCAGTCGCGCGCTTGCAGTCGGCGGACGGACGGCAGTCGGCGGACGGACGGCAGTCGCGCGCCTGCACTGTCGGCGGACGGACGGCAGTCGCGCGCCTGCAGTCGGCGGACGGACGGCAGTCGCGCGCCTGCAGTCGGCGGACGGACGGCAGTCGCGCGCCTGCAGTCGGGGGACGGACGGCAGTCGCGCGCCTGCAGTCGGCGGACGGACGGCAGTCGCGCGCCTGCAGTCGGCGGACGGACGGCAGTCGCGCGCCTGCAGTCGGCGGACGGACGGCAGTCGCGCGCCTGCAGTCGACGGACTGACGGCAGTCGCGCGCCTGCAGTCGGCGGACGGACGGCAGTCGCGCGCCTGCAGTCGGCGGACGGACGGCAATTCAGCCACCCATACTTTCGGCCAGATATGGCTCCACTGACAACTCTGTCCGTCTGTCCGTTGTTAGGAGCTGGCTCTGGCATGCTGAGCCCCCGCCCCTCGTCGGGCCCCTCCCTCCCCGCCCCTCGTCGAGACGTCGACAGACTCTGTGTCGACGTCTGCTCACCCGCAGAGGTGCAGGCTCGCTGTCCGTTGAGAGCGCACAGCTCCGCTGCGACGTCGACCCTGGTCGCGGCGGCGGTTCGGGCCGCGACGACTCGATTAATTTCCCCGCGCCGGCAGTCTCCGATCGATGGCCGCTCTCCCAGACCCCGGCCCGGCGGTGACGGATCCACCCGCTGTATTCGCAGTATCCGGGATCCACCCGCAGTATTCGCAGTATCCGGGATCCACCCGCAGTATTCACAGTATCCGGGATCCACCCGCAGTGCCCAGGTAGCCTGCAGATGCACATTTGATGTATCTGTACTGTATTTACCACCCACTTCCTCCATGCTCGAATGGTGTTATCGGCTGCAATGCCACCGCTGGGAAAATAGCAGGCGGCGGCAACTCTGAGTGAGGGTCTAGTTGATGGCTGCGCCGGCCGGGCTGCTGTGTGCGCGCGGCCGCTGCCCCGCTGACGTTTCGGTGCTGCTGAACTCGGCACTGTGCCGCTGTATGGCGGCTCGTTTGCGCCGCCGCCGCCGGGCCCTCCGCAGGGTGCCACTGAGCTGCGATTCCTCGACACGGGATCGATAGCGTGCGTGTGTCCGCCGCACCCCTGTCCCGCACCCGGCGGGTGCCTGCTGCACCCGTCCCGCCCCATGTGTACGACCGCCGCAGGGTGCTCAATGACACCCGCTGCCTGCTGCGGCGCTAAGGCACTCTAAATTCCACTTGATCGATGCTTTATTGCATGTTAGTGGTTAGACTGGTTTTATACCATTTACCTATATGGGCACTGACGTTTGGGCTTAGCTGTGGAGTGTGCAGTGTGCACTGTGCATTCATGCGTCTGTCATGCCTTGACACTGACAATAATATATATTGCAAATTCAGAAGCTATGGCGTATAAAGCTCTCCGCCAAGCTCGTGGCCGCATTGCGTGCCCTGTCGCCACTAAGACAGGTGACTATGTCGTCTCGATTTGTTTAGATTTTTATGGAGCGAGCGATGCGAGCGGAGTCTTTCCTTAGATTAACGGAAATTTCTGAGTATGAGCGGCCGGCCGGCCGTGCGGACGCTTTTGCGAGGCTTAAGCAACCACTTGACCGATTTACATGCGGTAATTTTTGTAGGCTAGCTTTATTTCTTCTACCAAGTATTGGACTATTCCCGATGCATGTGGGTGACCCCTTATGCACGTGCCACGTGCAAAGCGAAGAGGTGTCAGTTTTGTAATAGTTGCATCTCGGTAACTACTTGGCCGATTGCGCTGAAAGTTGGCATGTAGGAAGGCACTGCATATCCATCTGCCAGAGTTAGGGTGCTGCTGCACGTGCGCACGTGCAGGGGCCGTTTCCAGATTTCGAGAACGACTGGACCGATGGTGCTCAAATTTGGTACACGGTTAGGGACCAGTTAGTAGGGTGCCGTGCACAAGTCAGTTGGGACCCATTTTGCACGTGCGCACGTGCAGTGTGCCGCTTCCAGATCTTGAGAACGACTGCGCCGATGGGTGCTAAAATTTGGCACATCGCTAGAGACCGGTTAGTAGGGTGCCGTGCACAAGTCAGTTGGAGGTACCCTCTCGAAATTTCGCACGTGCAAGGCTCACCCTCTCGCTCGCTCCGTTAGTCGCCCCAAAAGGCGTTATACTGGTCATGTAATTACGGAGGCAGGGAAGCTAGTAGTCTTTCTTAGATTAAAGGGACTATCCCACCTTCTAAAATGTTGTTTAAACCAGTTAAATTGTGCCCGACTTTATAGATTGGATGACCAGGAACACGGTTTTGGCATTTGTTTTTCATTAAACATCTTAGGCTTCCCATATTCCAAACACAAACTTTCAAATATGTGACGTCACAGCCCAAAATTACCTCCTTCCCCAGGCCACATTACTGTCATATAGCTGATTCTTTTTACTCTGTAGGCACCACAACAAAGTTCAGACCAAGTTTTAAGCGATTTTTCAACGAACAAACCCATTTAAATCAGAATGACTAAACGAGGTGACGTCACACTAACGGTCGCTCCATGTTGAAGATAGGGCCTTGTACAAGGCCCATTTTCAAATGAAGGGAACGAATTTCTTCAACACCAAGAGGCCGCGGGGGTTGCAACCTAGATAGATAGTGGTTTCTGAACCTCGCCGCAAACTTGGCTATCTCAACTCAAACCCCATGTTAAAGGTGGGATAGTCCCTTTAACAGAAATGTCTGAGTATGAGCGGCCGGCCGGCCGTGCGTACGTTTTTGCGAGGCTTATATTTCAGCAACCACTTGACCAATTTACATGCGGTAATTTAAAAGGGTAGCTTTATTCCTTCTACCAAATATGGACTATTCCCGATGCTTGTGGTTGGCCCCTTATGCACGTTTCACGTGCAAAACGAAGTTTTTAAAAATAAAATCATTCTTTCAGGGCTGTGACGAAAAATAAGTGGTCTAAATCCGATGAGAAAACGGGATTTGGGGGTACTCTAGGTTTGGCTCCGTGACCTGGTGTGCCCCCCCCCCCCCCTGGATCCGCCAGTGTCTGGGGACTGCACCGCGGTGACCGGGACCGCTCCTTGTGTTGCAGGGGCCCGTGCCTGGAGACCTGGAGACCATCCTGCAGGAGATGCGCGTGCCAGGCGTGGTCCCCATCACTCCGCTCAAGACACAGCCGGAGCCTTTCCTCTTCCCGGCGGCCAAGGTCAGTCGGGATCAGGCGCCCTGTCGGGTCAGGGGCGCTGTACCGTGTCAGGGGCGCCCGGTCGGGTCAGGGGCGCTGTACGGTGTCAGGGGCGCCCGGTCGGGTTAGGGGCGCTGTACCGTGTCAGGGGCGCTGTACGGTGTCAGGGGCGCCCGGTCGGGTCAGGGGCGCTGTACGGTGTCAGGGGCGCCCGGTCGGGTCAGGGGCGCCCGGTCGGGTTAGGGGCGCTGTACGGTGTCAGGGGCGCTGTACGGTGTCAGGGGCGCCCGGTCGGGTCAGGGGCGCTGTACTGTGTCAGGGGCCGGATGTACCGTGTCAGGGGCGCCCGGTCGGGATCAGGCGCCCGGTCGGGTCAGGGGCGCTGTATGGTGTCGGGGGCGCCCGGTCGGGTTAGGGGCGCTGTACCGTGTCCTAGGGACGCTGGGCGGCTGCGCCGGGCCCGGGGCGGTCGCCGGGGTCAGGGGTCACGCCGGCCCGGTCAGCCGGCCGCCGGGGCCGGCGCGCCAGTGCAGTGAGCCAGTGGCGAGTGGGAGTAGCTGACAGCTGCGGGTCGGTGCTGTGTGCGGCGTGGCTTCGCGGGGCGCGGCGGTGGCTGACGGGAGTCTGGGCTGCCGACAGGACCGCCCGCCGGTGACGCCTCTGCACAGACCTGGCCGGCCGCCGGTGACGCCTCTGCACCGACCGGAGCAGAGCGGTGAGTCACTGCACGGCCCCAGGCCGGGCCGCGGCGGGCCTGCTCTGACAGCTTGTTATATCAGCCATAATCGCCCAGCTGTGGTGGAACGCTTCCCGTTGGTGCATGAATTGAATTTCCTACATGCCGGGGTATGTCTTAAGCACAGCACGAGCCGGGCAGTAATATACAATACTGAACGAGGCCGGTGTAAATAAATTTTCAAGACCGAGGTCCTTACTGAATTTTTGAACGAGGCCGAAGGCCGAGTTCAAAAATCAGTAAGGACTGAGGTCTTGAAAATTTATCACCGGCCGAGTTTGGTATGTATTTTACTGTATGCCAACGATAAAATAATTGTCTAGACCGAAGCTCTTAGCCATTTTTTGAACGAGGCCATCCCAAAATGTTGACTTGGTAATTCGTTTTTGACCGTGGTCACTTTGCTTACACCAGTTATTACCACACCCCTCAGGCTAATGTATTTAAATAGGCCAGGCATACAGTAAAACTATGACCAAGAAACTGTCGGTGTCAAAATGCCATGTTATTTGATAGGCCGGGCAGGAAACAAAAGTTTACTGCCCGAGTTTACTGCCCAGGGCAATGACCTCTAAACTACAGTTTATCGCATTAGTCGAGAGGAGGTATAATTGACAGGGAATGTATAATTGACATCATTATTGCATGATATTTGCCGCGTAAAATTAGAAAACTAATATTTTTTGGTAAATATCTGCTCTGCTTATCAAGGGTTTTGAAATATTTTGTATTGGTTACAAAGCCGAAATTATGGTAAGAATGCACCTATTAGTCGAAATCCGTTATCGCTTGTTGTCTCATCTTCGTTTGATATGTCCAGTGGTCCACTGATGCCTTGGGCCTGAGTTAATGCGTTTTTATTTGGCAGTTGTAGTCCTTTCCTCGAAACAAACATGTTAAACATGGAAAATATAATGTATTTAACGAACGTTTAGCCATAGGGCATATCAGCAAAGTACGATGAAATAAATAAAGCAAAGATTCTTGCAAGAGCACTGGGAAAATTCGCGTTTAATCACTAGGAATATTATACCTTCTTCTTGTTGTTATGTCTGGCAAATCATTCAAGTATTATGTTTCTTGGATATCCATTTGTTGTGCCATTCTGAGATGATATTTTCAGACGTGATTCTTTTTGAAGTAAGGTATTTTGATGCATTTTCTTCTATAAATTTCCTTTAAGGCTTTATCCACAGCAGTAGTGCAATCATTGTTAGGAAAATATGGACAAAACAATTGCATAAAAGTGTCACCAAAACCTGTCGAAACTAACCTAGCAGGTATGCGGCATGTAGGAAAAATCTTACTGACCTCAGCCGTACGAAATTATTTGGAAACTCGGCTTGCAAAATTTGACTCCGGCCCTCGTGCTTCGCACTCGGGCCTACGTCAATTTTGCAAACCTCGTTTCCAAATAATTTCGTCGGCCCGGTCAGTAATATATAAGGAACATAATACATGTTGATGTGGGTGGCTGAAATAGGCATTAACTACAAAGAGATCCATACCATGTTGATGTGCTATTCTATGTGTGATCTTAAGGGTTTTGTTCGGATTATTTGATTTTAAAACCTGAGTCTCCTTCAATTTGAGCTCCAGAATCAGTATTCCTTCACGGTTCGTCGGAAAGTCATTTCATCCACAAAAGAAATGAAGTGTACTATTCGATAGCTGACAGTGAGCTGATTCCAAAAATTAACTTATTTTAATCCTTCGATGGCCTTTTTCAAAAATTGTTTTTTTCTTGTTGTAAAAACATGAGTTTTTCATTCAACGAGCTGTCCAGGACATTCTTGAAATCAAAGGCATGTTTTTCAGTGAAAGCTGAATGCCAAAATAATAATACGCACCACGCAACGGAAAAATATTCTCAAATATTGATATGCGTCTCTCACAGCCGGCAACAAGGAGCAATCACACAACTCGCGTCAACTCAGTGTCACGATGGATCAAAGTAAGCCACACAAAAACGTGAAATGACCCTTATCGACTCGCAGACCCGGCGCTCTCCGCTGTCTGACGGGCCACGGAAGAGACGTTCGGCTGTCGCCCTACTTAACAGACGTCATATTTGTTAGTTAAAGGTACTATAGTGGTTCAGGATACCTGAGAGGAAGATACGTTGCTCTGTCTTTTTCACATCATGTATGAATTTGCATTTGTTTATGTGTACTTTGCTCAATTCAGCCTGGCATTATGCCCAGACAAGGAAAGCTGGCCGCGCTGAGCTGTCAGAGGTTGTACCGGCCTCAGCTGGGCTGGAGTGAGGTAGCGCCCGGCGGGGCGGGGCGGGGCAAGCTTTTGACCGGTCACAGGGCCGAACACTGTCACTGGTATGTATGTACAGTCTCTGACAACGAAACCCCGCTAACTTTCCCGGCGCCGGCATTGAGCGCAGCGGTACATAGCAAAATATGCATAAGAAAATGTAAATTAAAACATGTTGTTAATCTAGCAGAACAATGAATTTTCTTAACAGGTATCCTGAATAACTTTGATAGCGATGTGGACCGTTAACCCTTGCGGGCCCGGGGGCGTTGTCGCCCCCCCCCCCCCCCGGCGAAAATTGGCGATAGCTCGGCCATCGCATTTTTGGAATCAACTCTCAGTCAGCTTTCGAATGGTACATGTCGTTTCTTTTTAGCATAAAACGAACTTCCGACGAGCCGTGCCGGTTGAGGGATGGTGGCCGGTCACCGCCCGCCGCACCGTCCCCACCCGGCCGACATCGTCCCCGCTGACTGGGCTCTCGGTTCCAGCTCCGCCCCTCGATGTGCATCTGACGGACCAGGAGCCGGTGGCGGCGCCCCCTCCGCCCTCGCAGCCCCCGCCGCCGCCTGACGCACCGAAACCGTGAGTAGACCCGCAGACTCACCGCTCTACCGGCTAGCCGGACCGCTCCACACTGGGCCGATCGCCAGGTCTAGCACGACATGGGTAAAAAAATCGAACTTTGTGGATGTGCAATGAAACCTATACCAATTTGTTCAAAAATGATCATACTACATTGCTGTGGTCTTTGTTTTCCAACACAATGGCTATTTCATGGCGAAAACTCAGCTTAAACACGAACTTCGCAATCGTTTGGACCGAACTCGTCCCCTGCACTCTTCGACAGCGTGTCTTTGATCCACGAAAACAATCACAATTTGAGGAGGAATTCCACATTTATATACATCAAACGATAGCTTCGGGTCTGCAGAACACACATAACCACATGAAAATGGCGAACTCTTACTTGGTTATGATGTACTTGTACCACAAAGATTTAAAGACGAAAATATAATTTCACATAATTGATGTCACGCACAAATAGACCAAAGTACCGCTTCGAAAATCTCGCTTCATGTCAATGAGTCATCGCACTACAAGATCCAACAGTCATTTCTTGCGACTTTTTGCGACTTTGGATGTAGCAGCCAAACATAAACAGCCAAACCCGCGCCGGCCCGGTGCTCGGCGTCAAACGCGCCGGGCCGGGAGGTGTTGATTGAACACTCACTCCCCTTCTAACTCGGCTCCTGGGCCACATAGCGACACGTAGTAAGTGGCATTCGAAAGAGCGCCCGAATTTCCAGATAGAGTAATTATTCATTTCTAGGTCAGGTCAAAGGTCACGTCACCAGAGGTCATCAAAGGTAAAATGTTGCATATAACAACATTTCTTGAAAAACCGGCTCTTACCTCGGGGACCAATATAGCTACATCGTCGCGGAAAAGTGCATTCAATTGCTCTTTTAGCGGTCTTTCTGAAATAAGCCCTCAGATTTGGCTTAACCCTCGCCCCTAGTGGTGTTTTTCCAGCCGCGAACGTATAGAAGGGGTCCGTTGGACCCCCTGCCGTTTCGCCCCTGGTCGAGCTAGAGCTTCGCGGAAAAGACGAGCGTGTTACCCGTGACAAGAGGAAGCTGATGATACCCATTTGTGAGGTCCTAGGTCATCGGTTGATCTTCCAGGTCAGGTCAATCAATGACCCAAAAGTGGGGGAAATCGGGACCTGTTAGAATGTCGTAAAGGGTGGCTGCTATGGGTTTTTTGGGTGCTGATCACGAATTGTAATGTTATTTATGATCATAGATGATGTCTTCATGCATTTAAGCCAGATCGGGTCTGGTCAGGTCAGGTCAACCAGTAAGGGTTTTGCCGGCTATTTGTAGTAGGTGGCAAACGCCTCTGACAGCTTCGTAACATGTTACGAAGGCACCAAAGCTACATAGTAAATGTTCAAAGGGTTGGTAGACTCGAATTCAGCTCCAAAAACTAGCCTAGAAACATGTAAAACTCGAAAAATTGAACCAAGGTCATCAAAGGTCAGTGACCTTACCTGACCTTCCGGTGACCTTGACACCCACCCTAATGCATGGGAGCAACATAATACCCCATACTTGAACGTTTTAAACAACGAAAAGACGGCAAACTCGCGGCTAATGCGAGCCGACATACGCTGAATCGCGATTCCGGCCAAACATGGTCTTGAAAGAAGGTCACAGGTCAAAGATCATTAAGGTCAGGATCATGAAATTTTCAGGTTAGCTGTGAAATTAATTATCGCGAGGGTACTGAAAGTTTCATTGCAATCGGCCACTTTTTACGCGAATTACTCGCAAAAAAAAAAACGAGGGTTCCGTTCGAAGATTCAGGCCCTGTCGCGCTAGAATGGCATATCGGCCCACTGTGCGCTCTCTACCTGAGCCCCACCGCTCTCCCGGAGCTCCGCTGACGAGCTGTATCAGTGTATCGGTGGGCGGCGGGCTGCATGGCAACACGGCTAGTCTCGGTGCCGCCGCCGGCCATGAGCGGGGCGGGGCGGGTCGATCGCGGAAGCACCCACCGGCCGCGCGCCCAGCTGACGGCGGCCCAGCGCGGCGGGACAGAGATCCGCGGCCCAGCGGGACAGAGATCCGCGGCCCAGCAGTACCGAGATCCGCGGCCCAGCGGGACTGAGATCCGCGGCCCAGGGCGACCGAGCTTCGCGGCCCAGCCGGCCGCTCTCCGGGGATATGCCCATTCAGCTGATTTGGGAATTAGTTCTACTTGAGATGCTGAATTTGGTTAATGTGCCACGGAGTTTTAGCAGTCGTGACAGTTAAAAGCTTCATTCCCACCCAATAACATTACCGTTAAACACTCCAACTTTACCCGCCGTCTTCATTTAACCATAGCACTTAGGATGGGGGGAGGGGGGTCGCACATGGTTTTCACGAATGACCTCTCGTTAAAAAAAAAACGCCAATCGAGACGAAATTTTTAGTGCCCTCGAGGCAATTCATTTTACACATCCCCTGAAATGTGTATGACCAAACGACCTTTGACCTGTGACCTGCTGCTTGAAATCATGCCAGGCCGGATTTTTTCCTTGTTTTTTTGTCATGAAATCGCGATGTTCTTTCGGTCTTTCCATTTCGCAGAGTGGCGACCTTTTGGCGTTGGCAGTTCGCTGTGTGACAACCTTTTGGCGTTTGCAGTTCGCTGAGTGACGACCTGGATGTCTCGGATGACAGTGAGGACGAGACCGCAGTCAGGGAGGTGGCAGCGCGTCAGCCGCCGCGCCCGGCGTCCGAGCGCCGCAGGTCAGTCTCAGTGACCCGGGGCAGGTCACTACCAGGTCAGTGACTTGTGGCAGGTCAGTGTCAGGTCAATCGTCCGGGCCGAGACCGGCCCCAATCTGCCAACTTTAAGAGCGCCACGCTCCAGCGGCCGAGCCGGGCCGAGCTACCAGGTCAGAGTCTGCGACAGGAGTGCCACTGGGCGGTGGCAGGGGAACTGCCGTCGTGAACGACAGCCCTGCCCACCCGCATCAGTTCAGAACGCTGAGAGGGGAGGGAGAGTCGAGTGGGTGTTTGTGCGCCGGTGTAACAGCAGTGCGCTGTGCGCTATTGCACAGTGCACAGGCTGACTTACCAACTGTTCAGCTGACAAAAACTAGTGGTCCGCTGCATTAGCTCACAAAGTGGACCAGCCGCCGGCGCCGGCCATGTGACCAGGCAGCGAGCCAGCTGAACCTGCCGCAGTCCAATCACCAATTAACCCGCGCCCCGTAGGGGGGGCCGAAACGGCCCCCCCCTGTCCTTTTCGGTCGATATCTCCTAAACGGCTGGAGATATCGCCACCAAACTTTCAGGACCCCTCCGGGCATCAATTTTACACATTGTGACCGAAAAGTTTTCCAGAGGCTGTGATAGGTTGGCCACAAATGACGTCAGAGTGACGTCATGTTCTGTCATTTTCGACCGAAAAAAGACCTTCGCGAAAAGACCTGTCAGGCCTACAGCTTTGAAGATACAGAAAAATGATCAAGACATAAAAGGTGTAGAATTGACAGGGCTACAAAACTGCTATCTCGGATTTTTGAAATTTTTGAGTTTTGATCCCCAAAAATCAAAAAAGCATTTTTTTGGACATATTAGCCAAAAAATCCAAAAAGTTTTTTGAGTTTCGAAAATACCGGAATATATGTGACAGTACCTACCGTCTTCTATCTACATACCAAATTTCAGATCGATACCTCGTTTTTTGGCCAAGTTATAGCGAAAAAACTGTTCAAAAATGATGACGTCAAATTTTCAAACTCAATTTTTGGCAATTCTAGAACTCGTAGAGCAAAGACCACCATTAGACTCCCCGTGACGAGCTGCATCGAATGGATACCCATTTTATGCAAAAATATCAACTTTGAAATTTGACCTAATTTGACCTGACCTTGACCTAACCTTCACCAAAACGTGACCTAGGCTGGCCCCAAAGGCTGCCTAACCCACATAATCGCATTTGTCATGTAAAATGGACCATAAAACATGTATCACACGACACATTCATATTGTGACCCCCGGTGACCTGACCTCGTGTGACCTGACCTGGCATCAGTGACCTCAGATAGCAAAGTATGTGTTTGACGAACAATATACCATCGATGGTTTTCAATAAATTACCAATTTACTCGATTTCACAGCACATTTCTTGAATTGCCTGTGAACGGTGAAAATCTGACCTTTGACCTGACCTGTGACATCATCGGTTTGACCTAGGTCAATGAAATTTGGTCACAAGGTAGTTCCCGGGTAGGGCTATCAAACGCCGTTTGAATTTTGAAAATCGGCCGGTAACTTTCCGAGATCTTAGGGGGGGGGGCCGAAACGGCCCCCCCCCCCCTACGGGTGGTAGGGTCCGCCGGTAGCCCTACGGGGCGCGGGTTAATAGATTCCTGTGGCGCTCCGACACCGACCGGCGGCGAACGAGCCGGCCAGTCACCAATTCCCTGGCCACTGTCGCTGCAACACCGACCGGTAGTGAAACTGCCGACCAGGCCGACTGGTCACTGGTCAGTCACTGGTCAGTCACTGGTCAGTCACTGGTCAGTCACTGGTCTGAGGTCAGTCACTGGTCACTGTTCAGTCACTGGTCTGAGGTCAGCCACTGGTCTGAGGTCAGCCACTGGTCTGAGGTCAGCCACTGGTCTGAGGTCAGTCACTGGTCTGAAGTCAGTCACTGGTCTGAGGTCAGTCACTGGTCTGAGGTCAGTCACTGGTCTGAGGTCAGTCACTGGCCACTGGTCACTGGTCAGTCACTGGTCACTGGTCAGTCGCTGGTCACTGGTCAGTCACTGGTCTGAGGTCAGTCACTGGTCGGGTCGGGGCTACCCGGTTCCATGCCGAGACGAGCCCTTTTGGGGCCGATGCCCTGCGCGTTAAATCTATTTGCACCTAATCTTACTGAAGTTGGGGTGTCGCCTGCGCCTGTGTAATTTCCTGTGTAATGATAGCCTGTGAGCTCCATCATAGTTGGACGGTGGCCGTACCACCCACCCCCAGCGGAGCTAGAAATACATACGAAGCACTTGCCGTCTGCTGTCGGGGAGCGTTCGGTCAGTCCTGATTGCTGCCTCGCGTGCTGAAGCATCCTACGTCGAGAGGGTCACCAAAATAGCTGTCTATTTCTGCCACGGCCGCCGGCTTCAAGGCATCAATCTTCGGCGGTATATAATTAAACGGCGCTCTGCGACAGTCGCTGCAGGAGGCGCGTATTCTGTCCACCGTGTGTAGACGTGGACCCACCGGCCACCCGCCGCAGTTCAGCGCGCCCACCGGCCACCAGCCGCAGTTCAGCGCGCCCACCCGCCGCAGTTCAGCGCGCCCACCCGCCGCAGTTCAGCGCGCCCACCGGCTACCCGCCGCAGTTCAGCGCGCCACCCGCCGCAGTTCAGCGTGCCCACCGTAACCCACCCATAACCCACCCACCGCAGTTCAGCGCGCCCACCGGCCACCCGCCGCAGTTCAGTGCGCCCACCGGCCACCCGCCGCAGTTCAGCGCGCCCACCGGCTACCCGCCGCAGTTCAGCGCGCCACCCGCCGCAGTTCAGCGTGCCCACCGTTACCCACCCATAACCCACCCACCGCAGTTCAGCGCGCCCACCGGCCACCCGCCGCAGTTCAGCGCGTCCACCGGCCACCCGCCGCAGTTCAGCGCGCCACCCGCCGCAGTTCAGCGTACCCACCGGCCAACCGCCGCAGTTCAGCGCGCCCACCGGCCACCCGCCGCAGTTCAGCGCGCCCACCGGCCACCCGCCGCAGTTCAGCGCGCCCGCCGTTACCCACCCATAACCCACCCGCCGCAGTTCAGCGCGCCCGCCGTTACCCACCCATAACCACCCGCCGCAGTTCAGCGCGCCCGCCGTTACCCACCCATAACCACCCGCCGCAGTTCAGCGCGCCCACCGCGTGTAAACGCAGGCCCACCCACCGCAGTTCAGCGCGCCCACGGCAGCGCGGTCAACACCAGTTAGTGTCTGAGGAGATATCCGGCACTGACAGCCGGGAGCACCGACAGATCCAGATGGGAGCAGCGACAGATCCAGATGGGAGCTCCGCCACCGACATATTCAGCCGGGACACTGACATATCCAGCCGGGGCACTGACATATCCAGCCGGGACACGGACAGGGCCAGCCGGGACACGGACAGGGCCAGCCGAGACACTGACAGGGCCAGCCGAGACACGGTAGGGCCAGCCGGGACACTGACATGTCCAGCCGGGACACTGACAGGGCCAGCCGGGACACGGACAGGGCCAGCTGGGACACGGACAGGGCCAGCCGCGCCGGACAATGCTGACCTATTCGGCCGGATGTTTTTTAGTGGTGGGGCATCAACGGCCATCAGAGACGACCACCGGCTGTAGATGTTGTTGTCCGAGTGACGTCAACTCGTCGAATGACAATATTTTTTTCTTACGTAAGCGTTGGTCTCTGATCTCGGTACTGACAGCCGCGGCCCGTTTCAGCCGAAAGCCGTCGCCGTCGCCGGAGGCTCCGGCCGTCCTCCCCGACTCGAGCGGCTCGTCCACAGAGTCTGAGGAGTCGGGCGACTCGGCGGAGTCGGACTCTGAGTCGGCCGAGGAGCCGCCGCGGGCCCGCTCACCGTCCGCCAGCCACCGCTCAGGCATGGAGAACAAGGTACGTACGCCGGGTCACAACCGGGGGCCGACGCCATAAACTTGGTAGCATTTTACATCAGGGTGTATTTTATGCCCCAAGAAGCCACACCCTCTTAGGAGTGGGCGGTTTATTAGGATCCGAGGGCGTACTATGTGTCAATTGTATGTTTTTGTTTGTTTTGGGCTGTATTTTACTACATCCACTGCTTAAATTGTAGTTACTAACATCATGTGGCTCTATCCGCAGTACTTTATGAAACTGCTCGGGCGTAAAATGGAGCAGAATGGGTGGACAACTGCGTCAGTTGTATTTACCGTCCTTTTATGAAATCGACCGCCGCGCTGGGGCGTGCCACGCCCTGGGCGGATCACGTCCTGGGGCGGGTCACGTCCTGGGGAGGGTCACGTCCTGGGGAGGGTCACGTCCTGGGGAGGGTCACGTCCTGACATAGACATAGACATAGACATTTATTTCGCTCAAGATCCGACAATTTCGGGTTTTCACTTGCGCACGTCCGGTTGGTAAAATTGCACTAAAAATAGGATAACACATGTACCACACACCAACATCCATCCACATAAAATTGGAGACACATGCATACACGCATGGCTCAACTCTTTAGTCCGGTTCACGCCGTACAAATCGGTAGAGTGCTTTCCTGAATGAGTCGTGATCTCTTCTGCCCTGGCACACATCATTGTACATTTGTACGCCACTATACGCAAGCTGGCGCCTACCAGTCTCTGTTCGAATGGCTGGTAGTCTCAGCCGATTGTTCTGTCGTGTCTGGTGGTCGTGTCCGTGTTGGCGGTCTGCGTCCGTGATAATATCGTGTAATGCCTGGGGAAGCTCTGATGCCAGCACTTTGCTGACCATCTGGACGCGGTGGTATTGAGCAAGTTGAGATGCTGTTAGCCATTTGAGGTCTTTGAGCACTCCAGAAATATGTTCAAACTTTTTCTTTCCGCTGACCACTCTCGCTCCAAAATGTATGATTTTCTGTATGCGATGGAGTTCTGTTTTTGTGCACGTGCTATAGATGGACAAACAGTATCTAACGGCAGACATAACCAGAGCGCTGACCAGTGGCTTGAGCGAGGTTTTTGGAAGGCTATGCTTTGCATGCGTCAGCGCAACCAGAATGCCACTGCATTTTCCTACCACGTGGTCTACATGATCTACGTATGTCAGGTGCCTATCCATATAGAGTCCTAAATTCTTAACTACGCGGGATTCCTCGATGGCTGTGCCGCAGAAGTTTACCGATATCTTCGGCTGGTTTTTCAGCATCGCTCTCGTTCCGAAAAGTATCATTTGCGTTTTCGCGGCATTGACCTTCAGCCGGTTTTCATTGAGCCAATTTGCGAGTTGATCGAGAGCGCGTTCGAGAGTTGTGATCATCGCGTTAAGATGTTTCTTTGGTCCGGTTATAAGAAGTTGGGTATCGTCCGCGAACTGAATAACTTCTACATCATCAACGTAAAGCCCAATATCATTCACATAGATGGCGTATAGAATGCAACTAAGAGAACCGCCCTGGTATACAGATACACCGCTGTCATTGGGTAAAGTGTCGGACATGATCGGCTCTCCCTCACCCGCACTGACTTTGACCTGTTGAGAGTGGCCGGCCAAGTAGCTCGCGAACCAAGTCACATCGATGCCATACAGTGCTAGCTTCGTGAGTAATCGCTGGTGGTCTACGCTGTCAAAACATTTAGACAGGTCGAGCAACACTAAAATTCTAACACTGCCTCCGTCCATCGCTCGATAAATGCGCTCAGTCACTACAGCTAAAGCGGTCTCTGTAGAGTGCGACGCCCTGTAGCCATGCTGGTGGTGTGTGAACAGACCGTTGTCTCTGAAGTATTGAGCCAGCTGTTGCTGCACGACGCGCTCAATCACTTTCATTGGAGCTGGCAGTACAGACACAGGGCGATACTGAGACGGTTGCGACGGTTTGGGTGTTTTGGGTAACGGTGTGATGACTGCATGTTTCCATGCCGTTGGTATTTCGCCACTAGACAGACTAGAGTTGATAATATTGAGCAAGACAGGCCCGATACCATAAAAGAATTTCTGCATCATTTGCACACTTATACCCTGAAGACCCGTGGCTGTCGATGGTTTCATGCTGTGCACGACAGTCATCAGCGTATCAATGTCCACAGTATCCACCTTAAACTGACAGGTATGGACCCGTGGCAGTCTCACCGGCTGGGTGCGAGACGGTACTGGCACGCTATTGGCAGTCTCTCGCCCCATCTGAGAGAAGAATGCATTTAGTGCGTTTGGTGTGACGTGCGGTACACCACAAGCTCCCTTTTTGTCGCCTATAATCGGCTTCAACACACGCCACATTTTTGCAGGACCTGCTTTCTTGCACTCATTCTCTAGATAGGAGGCCTCGTTGTAGTGTATCGAGTACCTAGTGCATCGGGTGTCCGAGGCTCGGCATCGGGCCCCCGGTAATACGAGTGTGAGGCGGCCGCACCCTGCTCGGCTCCAGTCAGAGCCAGCAGTCGAGAGGCTCCGCCCGGCCGCACAGCACGACAGTGCCTTAGTGTTTTGCACCGCGAGTTTGTGAGAATACATCGGAATCCGGAGACGGCGGTGGACACTACATCTGGCGACGAGGATGAGATCCTGAATACTACCGACGATGAACGTCGAGGGGGTGTCGCCGCCAACTCCGTTCCTGGCGAGACCAGGAAAACCAGCACTGCCCTGGAGTGACTGGATTTTCAGTTTCCACAACTACCTGACTGCCCTGGGAGGTGAGGCCTACAGCACGGAGAGGAAGACGGCTCTCCTTCTGCACTGTGTCGGCGCCGAGGCGCAACGGGTGTACCGTACCCTACCGGTCCAGCCGAGGAGAGAAGACGAAGACGAGTTCCATGCGGCTGAGCGGCAGCTCGCCGAGTTTTATGAACCTCAGGTCAACGTGATCGCGGAGCGGTTCTTCTTCCGGCAGCGACGGCAAGAGTCGCACGAGCCGACGGCCGACTACGTGGCGGCGCTGCGCCGCCTGGCAGTAAACTGCTCGTTTGGACAAATGACAGACGCAATGATACGTGACCAAGTCGTGGAAGCAACAGTGCATCCGATTCTCCGCGAGCGTTTTCTGCAGTATAAGGGCCTGACCCTGGACCGCGTTCTGGAGATCGCCGAGGCATTCGAGCGATCCCGACGCGAGGCGACCGCCATGGCCGGGCCGGCGCGGCCCGCCGCCGACGGAGCGCAGTCACTGCATCAGATATCTGACGCTCGTCAGCGCCGCGGGCGCCGGCCCTGGCGACCCGCCCGGCGGCAAGACGACCGCCGCCTCGCCCCTGCCCAGTTGCAAGCCGACCGTCGCCCCGGACCTGCCCAGCTGCAACCGGACACGTGCCCCAGCTGCGGTCGGCGCCAGCACAATGAGCGCGGTCGGTGTCCCGCTACCGGTGCCACGTGCAGGCAGTGTGGGCGGACGGGTCACTTTGCCGTGGTCTGCTGGTCTGGTGAACGGAACGACGACAGAAGGTGTCACGAGCTGACTGTTCTCTGCTGCGCCGTACCAAATACCGATAAGATGATGTGCGAAGTACAGATGGAGGTACCAGGTATCACGCAGACCGTGAATCTGCAAGTTGACACGGGTGCCACGGTGTCCGCTTTAGGACTCGGCATCGCCAGACGACTCTTCAAAGGCAGTCGTCTCAATAGAACGTCTGCTCGTCTGTTCGGTTTTGGTCGACACCAGCTTCAAGTGCTTGGCACGCTGCCAGCGCTGGTGACCTACCGTGGACGGCGAGCCAACACAGAGTTCTTCATCATAGATTCCGACGGTGAAGAAGCCGTCATGGGACTGGACCTGCTGAAGCAGTTGGACGTAAACCTGCACCCCGCGAGTGGGGCAATCGATCAGCTGGCGGTCACTGGGAGCGCAGAAGTCCCGGAACCGCCACCGTCTCAGCCCGACCCTGGCGAGATATGCTCACTGACGACAGTCCGTGGCTACCAGCACAGGATTGTTCTCCGTCCTGATGCTGTACCGGTGCGTCACAAGCTCCGCCGACTCCCGTATGCTGTTCGTGAAGAGGTCAGCCGCGAGCTGGACCGACTCCAGGAGGAAGGAGTCATCGAACCGGTCGAAGTCAGCGACTGGGTTCACCCGATGGTCGTCAGCAGGAAAAGGAACGGGAAGCTGCGCATCTGCGTGGATCTCAGGGACCTGAATCGACAGGTCATCGCCGAAGTTCATCCCCTGCCGACGGCAGAGGAGCTCCAAGACCAGCTGAAGGGCAACATCTTCACAGTTATCGACCTGCAGAGCGCATACCATCAGCTGGAGCTGGAGCCTGCTTCCCGTCAGCTCACCACGTTCCTGACTCACCGAGGCCTACGACGGTTCACGAGGGTTCCGTTTGGTCTGGTCTCGGCAGGATCTGCGTTCCAGAGATTGCTGGACAACCTGCTGGACGGCATCCCGGGATGTGTTCACTACATGGACGACGTCGCGGTCGTGGGAGTGTCACAGGAAGAACACGACGACCGTCTTCGGCGCGTCATGGCCCGACTGAAGGAGGCCAGCTTGACAGTCAACAGAGAGAAGTCTGTGTTCAGCAAAGCAGCTGTCGACTTCTGTGGCTTCACGCTGTCTGCGTCGGGAGTCACACCACTGCAGTCACAGATCAAGGCCGTGACTGACGCACCACCGCCGGAGAACGCCAAGGAGCTGAAGTCGTTCCTGGGGATGTGTGGATGGTTCCTCAGGTTCGTCCCTGGGTACGCCGAGACCGTCCATCCACTGTACCGGCTGCTGAAGAAGGGCACCAAGTTCGTCTGGGACGACACAGCGAACCGAGCTTTCAACGAGGTCAAGCTGAAGATAGCTGCAAGCCCGACACTGAAGCCGTTCGACCAGAGCCTGCCTACATTCGTCACGTCCGACGGCAGCGGCAAGGGCGCTGGAGCTGTACTCACGCAGCTGAGCGCCGATGGAGGAGAAAACGCCGTAGCATTCTGGTCTCGGGCGTTCACCCCTACCGAGCAGCGCTACTCAGTGTCTGAGCTGGAAGCACTGAGCGCTGTTCTCGCCGTGGAACACTGGAAACTGTATCTGTGGGGACGTCCGTTCACTCTCCGCACAGATCATTCGGCGCTGCAGACACTGCTCTCGCCCAGCTTCTCGGGGAGAGCGGGCGCGAGGATCGCGCGCTGGCAGGCACGCCTGCTGCCGTATGCGTACACAGTCCAGTACGTGCCTGGCCGGAACCTAACTCCTGCAGCAGACGCCCTCTCCAGGATGCCAGTTCCTGCCGAAGAAGCGGACCTGCATGAAGACAGCTCCGCTGAAGAAGAGGTGATCGCTCTTCTGACAGATGAAGAGAGCGTGCTGACCGAGCAAGACGTCCGCACCGCGTCAGCTGCTGATCCTGAGCTGCAGCAGCTGCGTCATCAGATCAAGCGCGGCTGGCCGAGCAGCGCCAAGGCCTGCCCGGGTGAAGTCCAGCCGTACTTCAAGATGAGACACGAGTTGTGGGTGCGCAACGACGACGTCATCCTGAGAGGAGCCCAACAAGTTGTTGTGCCCGTTCAGCTCCGCCGCAGATACCTGGAGCTGGCGCACAGCGCGCACGACGGAATCGTCCGCATGAAACAGGCGCTGCGGAATCTGGCGTGGTGGCCCGGCATCAACCGTGAGGTGGAGGAGCTGTGCCGAAGTTGCGAGCGCTGCCAGCACAGCGACGCAGTCCTCTCCCAGCGCGCACGCCCTGCGCCCATGCAGCCAGTCGACCTGCCGGACCGCGCCTGGTCGAAACTGGGAATGGATATCGTTGGTCCAATCAACGGAGCACCAGCGACTGCCCGTTACGCCATCACTCTGATTGACTACAGAAGCAAATGGGCGGAAGTCTGCCTGACGTCATCGACTGAGACTGAAGACGTCATCAAGTTCTTGTCAACTGTGTGGGCCAAAGAGGGCTATCCCGACGAGATCGTGACGGACAATGGGCCCCAGTTCACGAGCAGGGAGTTCACTGCGTATCTGGCCGCCCGAGGGGTGAAGCACACCAAATCGTCCGTCTACTGGCCTAGAGGCAACTCCGCCGTAGAGCGCTTCAACAAAACGTTCAAGTCGTGGATCACAGACTGTCCACCAGCAGCGTTCATTGACGAGGTACGCAAGAGCCTGGCGGTGTATCGAGCCACCCCACACACGACAACTGGGAAGTCACCGTCAGAGCTCCTGCATGGACGACAGATGAGGCTGAACCTGCCTGTCATTCAGCCGTCAACACCAGGAGCCGACAGTGTGGCGTCTCGAGTTCGACGCCGACAGCAGTCCAACAAGAGATCCTACGACCGCCGCCGTGGCGTGACGACGCCGCGCATCACTGAGGGCGACTACGTTTGCGTGAGACGGCAGGGACACCGCTCGAAGACGTCCTGTCGGTTCACGTCTCCGGTGCGAGTCACTGGGCGCGTCGGTCCCGCAACGTACCGTCTGGCTGACGGCCGGACCTGGAACGCCGCCCATCTGGCCCGTCTCCCATACGCGCCGGCGTCTCCCTCCGCATCTCCCCCCGCTGGGCCCGGCGAGACCACGTCGACCGCCACGACTTCCGAGGCCGACGCCGCTGGCCCGCTGACCTCGCTCGCCGCTGCTTCTCGCCCGTCGACCGAGACAGCTTGCGAGCCGTCGCCGGACGCCGCCGATGTGAGCGTGCAGCGTCCCAGGCGAAGCGACCGTGTCTGTAGACGACCGGACTACTACGTGTCGCAGTGATGCTGTTCCTTTTTTTTTGCGAGAGGGGGGAATGTGTAGTGTATCGAGTACCTAGTGCATCGGGTGTCCGAGGCTCGGCATCGGGCCCCCGGTAATACGAGTGTGAGGCGGCCGCACCCTGCTCGGCTCCAGTCAGAGCCAGCAGTCGAGAGGCTCCGCCCGGCCGCACAGCACGACAGTGCCTTAGTGTTTTGCACCGCGAGTTTGTGAGAATACATCGGAATCCGGAGACGGCGGTGGACACTACATCCGAGAGGGGGAATGTGTGGTGTATCGAGTACCTAGTGCATCGGGTGTCCGAGGCTCGGCATCGGGCCCCGGTAATACGAGTGTGAGGCGGCCGCACCCTGCTCGGCTCCAGTCAGAGCCAGCAGTCGAGAGGCTCCGCCCGGCCGCACAGCACGGCAGTGCCTCAGTGTTTTGCACCGCGAGTTTGTGAGAATACATCGGAACCCGGAGACGGCGGTGGACACTACACTCGTCTGACCTGATTGCGGCTCGGCACTGGCGGTTGAGAGCCTTGTACCGCTCGCGTCCGGCGGCCGATGTATCTGCGAGCGCGCGGCGCCGGCTGGCCATCAGGTCACGGGTAGCCGCGGTCACAGGTAGCGCCCCCTGTGGTCTCACCCGCACTCGCCGTATCGGTGCTACCGTGTCCAAGGCTCGGGTAAACACGGCCACAAATGACTCCCACGCCGCCTCAGTGCTGCCACTCAGCCACACCCCGTTCCAGTCAATGCGCGACAAGTAGACATTGAACTCGATTGAGTCAACGCTACTCAGGCAACGCTTTCGGATAGAGACACTTCTGTGAGCGCGGCTCTTGCAGTTTTGTCGTATCATTATCCTAGTGTAGTCGTGCGGGCCTCCTAAATGGCACCGAGTAACACCGGATCTCACAACGTTTCCGCTCTGGCTAGTTGCGATAACGTCAATCAATGAGGCAGCTGGTCGGTATGTTGGCCTTTTCAAATTGACAGGCACTAGGCCGTTCAAGCGCAACACTTCCATTAGTCTGACGCCCGGTGATTTGTTCTTCAGTAGACACGCGTTAAAGTCACCTGACAGTATCACATGCTTGCGTGGGTGAGCTGTCATCATGTAGTTTAACTGGGCGTTCAGGTCATCTAGGTCTGCAGTTACTTGATGTACCGTGGTGGAAAGCCTGGGTCGGGTCCTGGGGCGTGCCACGTCCTGGGGCGGATCACGTCCTGGGGAGGGTCACGTCCTGGGGAGGGTCCTGGGCTATAGCATTAGCGACTAGCGAGTCACGGCCTGCGGCGACTCGGTGTGTGCGAGTACTCGATGTGTGCGATTCCCGGCGTCTGAGCCGACGTCGTCCGACGTCGTCCAGTGCCGTCCATGTCCAGTGTCGTGCCGAGCTCGTCCGGCGTCTGAGCCGACATCGTGGTCCTTTCGATGATATGCTGTCGTTGCATTCAGTCTGTTTTGAAATGAACGCCTGAATGGGGTCCTTGGCGTGGGCCGGTGAAGGGAGAGCGATTTGGACGGGCATTGGTCCCGGTGGGGATCATACCGGAGCAGTGCACAGCTGGTGAGCCTGGGTGGTTCGTAGCCGGACTTCACACTGACTCCCGCCCTGTGGCGGCCCGTCCCCCTGGCTCTGTCGTTCTCTGTTCCTCCCTCTCTGACACCTCTGGCCCCTCTGTCCGCCCCAGGAGGGCTCCGAGAGCCCCAGCACCAACGCCGGCAGCAAGTGGAGCCTGACGTCCATCATGAACGGCAGGGACGGCGCCGGCACGCCGCTGTCGTCCGTGTTCGGGAACGCCTCCGCGCGCAGCCTCAACAAGGTGAAGGGGCTCGCCATCCCCCGTCCCGCCGCCTCTCCTCAGTGGTGGAGCAATACTGAGGCGACAGGGAAGTGGCAGGACCCGGGAGATAGGAATGAGGAGCTGCGCAGGGGCCCCGGTACGGGATGGGATGGGGGACCCGTCTATCGTTTAGCCTATACTGTGTGAACGCGCCTATTATCACTGCGTGACTCCTGCTCGTGTGCTCACCGTGTGTACAATGCCGCTCCTCACCCGACACAATTTCCTGCGCACCATGTCCTCCGCACCAGACACGATTTCCCCCGCACAATGCCGCTCTGCACCCGACACAATTTCCTGCGCGCAATGCCGCTCCGCACCCGACACAATTTCCTGCGCACAATGCCGCTCCGCACCCGACACAATTTCCTGCGCACAATGCCGCTCCACACCCAACACAGTTTCCTGCGCACAATGCCGCTCCGCACCAGACACAATTTTCTGCGCACAGGTTCATCAGGGCATCGTTTTTTTATGACGTGCAGCCGCCACAGGCCTTGCAGTCTGCCGGCGTATGCTAATTGACCAATAGCACCGAGTTGAGAGACGTGGCTCAGCTAGGCCATGCCGTCACGGCTGAGAAGGACTTGTCATCACATCGCTCTCCGCTTCCGCCCTCGCTTCCGCCGGGGCTGACTCTGACCTCTGCCGCCCCCGACTCTGGCTGCCGGGGCTGACTCTGACCTCTGCCGCCCCCGACCCTCGCTTCCGCCGGGGCTGACTCTGACCTCTGCCGCTGCCGACTCTGTGCTTACCTACCCTGGCTGCCGGCGCTTCCCGACCCTGACCTCTGCCGCCCCCGACTCTGACCGCGGCTGCTGCGTCTCGATGCTGGCGATGATGCGAACGCTGATGCTGACGGTGATTCCGTCCTCTGTCAGATGTCGCCGCCCGAGTTCCCGAACAGCGTGGACCCTGCGGACCCTGGCAGCGTGGACCCTGCGGACCCTGGCAGCGTGGACCCTGCGGACCCGGGCAGCGCGGACCCTGTGGACCCGGCCGACACCGGCGTCTCCCTAGAAGACGTGGTCGCCCAGGTGAAGATACGAGACGCGTCCCTTTTCATTCTCTCTCTCTCTCTCTCTCTCTCTCTCTCTCTCTCTCTCTCTCTCTCTCTCTCTCTCTCTCTCTCTCTCTCTCTCTCTCTCTCTCTCTCTCTCTCTCTCTCTCTCTCTCTCTCTCTCTCTCTCTCTCTCTCTCTCTCTCTCTCTCTCTCTCTCTCTCTCTCTCTCTCTCTCTCTCTCTCTCTCTCTCTCTCTCTCTCTCTCTCTCTCTCTCTCTCTCTCTCTCTCTCTCTCTCTCTCTCTCTCTCTCTCTCTCTCTCTCTCTCTCTCTCTCTCTCTCTCTCTCTCTCTCTCTCTCTCTCTCTCTCTCTCTCTCTCTCTCTCTCTCTCTCTCTCTCTCTCTCTCTCTCTCTCTCTCTCTCTCTCTCTCTCTCTCTCTCTCTCTCTCTCTCTCTCTCTCTCTCTCTCTCTCTCTCTCTCTCTCTCTCTCTCTCTCTCTCTCTCTCTCTCTCTCTCTCCTCTCTCTCTCTCTCTCTCTCTCTCTCTCTCTCTCTCTCTCTCTCTCTCTCTCTCTCTCTCTCTCTCTCTCTCTCTCTCTCTCTCTCTCTCTCTCTCTCTCTCCCTCTCTCCCTCTCTCCCTCTCTCCCTCTCTCCCTCTCTCTCTCTCTCTCTCTCTCTCTCTCTCTCTCTCTCTCTCTCTCTCTCTCTCCCTCTCTCCCTCTCTCCCTCTCTCCCTCTCTCCCTCTCTCTCTCTCTCTCTCTCTCTCTCTCTCTCTCTCTCTCTCTCTCTCTCTCTCTCTCTCTCTCTCTCTCTCTCTCTCTCTCTCTCTCTCGGGCCTGTGAGGAGATGCTATGCAGTTCATCCGGAGTTTTGAGTAATCTTTCATTTGAACTTGTTGAGTTAAACTTTTTGGGCTCATCATGGACTTCATACACTGCTTCATTTTTCTATGGCTTGATTCAAATCGAACAGCATTCAATCGTGTAAATGCCAATAGTGCTGCTTGCCTATCCTTTGTGCCTGGACGTTTTGCCCATTACGAAGGGCATACGTTTCGAAAAGTGAAGAAAAATATGATTAATCATGCCAGGTCTTCATCCTCTAACCGTTGCAAGCAAATTAATCGGGTGGTGACAAAACTCTTTGCGTGCCAAGATAAGCATGGGTGTTTCACCACCTTTTACGCTGCCTGTGTTGGCTGTTCTGCCCCGGTTGCTAGCTGTCCTGGCTGCTGACTGCCGTTGCCTGTTCACCGAATGCTGTGTTTATTAGTGACTGCCCTGTTCACCGACTGCTGTGTTTATTAGTGACTGCCCTGTTCACCGACTGCTGTGTTTATTAGTGACTGCCCTGTTCACCGACCGCTGTGTTTATTAGTGACTGCCCTGTTCACCGACTGCTGTGTTTATTAGTGACTACCCTGTTCACCGACTGCTGTGTTTATTAGTGACTGCCCTGTTCACCGACTGCTGTGTTTATTAGTGACTGTCCTGTTCACTGACTGCTGTGTTTATTAGTGACTGCCCTGTTTGCTGACTGCCCGCCCGTCTCCATGTCCAGGTAAAGACTCGCTCGCTGCCGGTCGGGGACGCCGAGGACCCGGTGCCGATGGAGATGTCACAGACGCAGTCCTCCTCCTCCTCCGAGGCAGAGCAGAACGCGCCGGCCGCTGCGGGCCGACCGGCGGCCGGCGGCAGCCGACCCCGACCCCGACCGCGGCTGTCTGCGCGCAGCGATAGTGAAGGCGAGAGGCCGGCGCGGCCGGCGGCCGGTCGGCGGCACGCCGCGGCCCGGCGCTCGCCGCCGGCCGACTCCAGCGGCGCCGACTCGGACGGCGAGTCGGCGCCGACGGCCGCCGCCGCCAGCCAGCGGAGCCCGCCGGCGGCCGACGGGCGGCGGCGGCGGCGCGCCGGCCGCGGCGCCGCCTCCCTCTCGTGTGACGAGCGGCGCTCGGGCGCGCCGGCCGGCCCGCCGCCGCGCGCCCGCTCCTCGGACTCGCCACCCAAGCTGGACATCGGCGGGGACGGCGACTGGACCACCAGCGACGCCAACAAGAAGGCCACCGTCAACCGGCTCTTCAAAAAGCACCGCGTCAAAAAGCCGACGCCGCGCGGCCGTGGTGCGGCGTCCGGCGAGGGCGCGGCGTGCGGGCCGCTGCCGCAGCTCACCACACACAACGGCGTGCCGTCACTGCGCTGCTGCATCGAGCGGTGGCTGGTGCCGGACGCCCGAGAGCGAGCCGAGGCACTGCTGAGGGACCGGCTGTCTGAGCCGCGCCGCGCCGAGCACGCTCACACAGACCATCGTTCCCATCACCCGCACGCCGCTCACGGCGGGTCCCACCAGTCCCAGCACTCTGCCCACGGCGGGTCCCACTCCCACCACTCTGCCCACGGCGGGTCCCACTCCCAGCACTCTGCCCACGGCGGGTCCCACTCCCAGCACTCTGCCCACGGCGGGTCCGACCGCGGCCACCCGGCCGGTCACGCCCGGTCCGAGGCGGCCACCGCCAGCGGCCCTGGCTCCAATCACCCTCAGGGCGGCGGCCGGTCGGCTCGGGACGCCGACTCGGCCCAGCCGAGACTCGAGTCTCGCTGCGACTCGGGCCGGCGCGGACGTCTCGGGAGCGCCGAGCGCCCGGAGGCGGACGGCGGGCGCGGCTGCTCGGCGTCACCGCGCGGGGAGCGGGCCCGACACCGGGACGCCGCCGGTGCGGCCGGCTCGCCGCGCGGCCACCGGCACCGCCGCGACCCACCCGGCCACCGCGACCCGGCCGCCGGCAAACTGACGTGAGTACCGCGACCCCGCCGCCGGCAAACTGACGTGAGTAGCGCGACACCGCCGCCGGCAAACTGACGCGAGTAGCGCGACCCGGCCGCCGGCAAACTGACGCGAGTAGCGCGACCCCGCCGCCGTCAAACTGAGGCGAGTAGCGCGTGCTGAGCTGGTCGGGGTACGTGGGTACGGGCGTCCAGCTGGTCGGGGTACGTGGGTACGGGCGCACCGAGCTGGTCGGGGTACGTGGGTACGGGCGCCCGGCTGGTCGGGGTACGTGGGTACGGGCGCCCGGCTGGTCGGGGCACCGCCGCGGCGGGTACATCTCGTACAGGAGTTGGGGGTGTTCGACGTAGGTGCTGCTTTTTTAATGTATATTGTGCGAAAGGAGATAAATGGTTGCAGAGGAGGCGTTTTGTTCGATAAGGGCTGTACACTTGGTAAATGCTGAAAGTTACGTCGCCTTCTGTCTTCTGCCACACCAGCGTGCCTTTTCTTTTTGTCTGACTTACTGTGTTAGCAATAACAGAGTATTTCACTAGCTGTTGGGTTGGGGCGCCGGACAGTGGTTCGCCTGTTGTGACGCCCTGTGTCCCGGCTACCGGTGAGTTCTATTGACTGTGGAGAGATGCACCCAGGAGTTGTTCGAAGGCCCGGTCATAATGGTCGGCTCATCACTACCAGCTCAGCTCGGACGCAACTTTTCACCGACAATCTCTGACTGACTGTGATCATGTTAACCGTGACTCGTGACCCTGACCGTGACCCGTGACCCTGACCCCTGAACGTGACCCCTGAACGTGACTGTGACCCCTGACCGTGACCCTGACCGTGACCCTGACCGTGACACTGACCGAGACCCTGACCGTGACCCTGACCCCTGATCGTGACCGTGACCCGTGACCCGTGACCCTGACCCCTGACCGTGACCCCTGACCGTGACTGTGACCGCTGACCATGACCGTGACCGTGACCCCTGACCGTGACCGTGACCCCCGACCCTGACCGTAACCCCTGACTGTGACTGTAACCCCTGACCGTGACTGTAACCCCTGACCCTGACCACGACCCCTGATCGTGACCCTGACCGTGACCCTGACCGCGACCCCTGACCCTGACCGTGACCCTCACCCCGACCCCTGACCGTGACCCTGATCGTGACCGTGACCCACTATGACGCGCCGGCAGGCCCCGCGGCGATGGGTCGGTGCGCTCTCACTCGTCCTGCTCCATCCGGGAGGCGGATGACGTCACCAAGGATGATGACGCGGCGCCGGTGGTGACGTCACACAAGCGGCGATGTCACGGCCTGGCAGAGGAGGCCGGTCCGCGGCCAGCCCACCGGAGCCGGGTCAGTGACCTGGGACAGGGTCAGTGGTGTGACCTGGGACAGGGTCAGTGGTGTGACCTGGGACAGGGTCAGTGGTGTGACCTGGGACTGGGTCAGTGGTGTGACCTGGGACAGGGTCAATGACCTGGGACAGGGTCAGTGGTGTGACCTGGGACAGGGTCAGTGACCTGGGACAGGGTCTGACGGGCCGCTGTGGTCTGACTGGTCTGACGGACCGCTGTGGCCTGACTGGTCTGACGGACTGCGCTCCTTCCCAGGTCGAGTCGCCTCCGACCGGAGTGCGGGAGGCGGACAGCAGCACCAACCCCACCACCACTGGCGCCGGCTTCGACACCAACGTGCCGGCGGCGCTCTACACCAACCAGCCGTTCCCCATCCCAGCGTGAGTCCCGCTGCTCCCCCGTACCGCCCGCTCCCCGTACCGGCGTGAGTACCGCCCGTACCGTCCACTCCCCCGTACCGCCGCTCCCCCGTACCGGCCGCTCCCCCGTACCGCTCCCCCGTACCGCTCCCCCGTACCGCCGCTCCCCATAGCGGCTGAGCTCCCCCGTACCGGCCGCTCCCCCGAACCGCCCGCTCCCCTGTACCGCCGCTCTTGTACCGCCCGCTCCCCGTACCGCTCCTGTACCGCTCCCTTACCGCCCGCTCCCTGTACCGTCCCCCGTACCGGCCGCTCCCCCGTACCGGCGTGAGTACCGTTGATCCATCCTTAGTGGTCGACCTCTGCGTATGACAGCTGTCAGCTGGGTGGGATCGACTGCTGCAGACCCAGCTGCATAGCAGCTCATGTGGCTGATGTTAAACTGCATTTCATTATCCGACTGTTCAAGCAAATGTACCCTTTCTCACCCCTGCCCCCCCCCCCCCCAGCTTCAGCGAGGGCTTCCTTATATGGCGGGAGGTTATACTTTATGTGAAAAACGTGTCAGACTGGCCTGCAGTTCTCGGTAGCTGAAACATGCCGTTCCCCAAAAACCTCTGCTTGGTGAATGCTAAATCATCTCGTGGTGCCACTGACCAAGGCTTTTTTATTGGGTTTGTGGTTATGGTTTCTGTTTTTGTTGTTTTGTTGTTCTTCCTGCTGCTGCTGTGGCCAGGAGGGGCGGGAGGGGCTGGTTGGCTTTGGAATGTGAGGATATGACCTCCCCAGGCAGTTTCCTGAGGAGGAATGGGAGGGGAGGCTACTATGGATCTGAGAATGAATAGCCTATGACCGGCTGCCCGCTGGGACGGCTGTCTAATGTCCTACAGTCTTTACAGTTTGAACACCTCCACCCCTGGGACGTCTGTCTGCACACTGTACACCAGTACCTCCGACAGGCCCGGAGACTGACCGTCCCCCTCCCCGTCCCCCGACAGGCCCGGAGGCTGACCGTCCCCCTCCCCCGACAGGGACCAGCACCAGTCCCTCCGACAGGCCCGGAGACTGACCGTCCCCCGCCCCCCTCCCCCGACAGGGACCAGCACCAGTACCTCCGACAGGCCCGGAGACTGAAGCGGGCAGCAGATAACGAGGCAGACATGACGCTCAAACTCATCAGGTAACTCGCGCCCCGGCCGGCCGGGCAGACCGGGCAGCGGGCTCTGGGAGGGAGCGGGGCGGTGGCCAAGGCCCGTCGAACTGAGTGGAACCTGCGAACCAAATCGAGCTGCCACCATGAGTGGTGTTCTGATTTCACGCTCGGCCTGTGGCTGCGGGCTGACACCGTGCCACCCGTGACTGACCGGTCACTACCCCCCCCCCCCCCGTCAGTGACTGACCGGTCACTGCCCCCCATCAGTAGCCCTGTGACTGACCGGTCACTGCCCCCCCCCAGTATCCCTGTAACTGACAGGTCACTGCCGCCCCCCGTCAGTAGCCCTGTGACTGACCGGTCACTGCCCCCCCCCCCCCCGTCAGTAGCCCTGTGACTGACCGGTCACTGCCCCCGTCAGTAGCCCCGTGACTGACCGGTCACTGCCCCCGTCAGTATCCCTGTGACTGACCGGTCACTACCCCCCCCCCCCGTCAGTAGCCCCGTGACTGACCGGTCACTGCCCCCCCCCCGTCAGTAGCCCCGTGACTGACCGGTCACTGACCCTCGTCAGTGCCACCTGTGACTGACCGGTCACTGACCATCTGCCCCCTCTCCAGGTACACCCAGGCTGTCATCTATTTCCTGCTGACAGCTCTCTCCATGGAGAAGGAGCACGAGGCGCACGACCCGGAGGGCGTGGCGTCCATGCTACACGACACGCTCAAACTCATCAAGTGAGTGCTCCGGTGGGCCGGCCGGCCGGCGGCCGGACCGGCGGGCGGGGCCCCGGTAGGGGAGGGGCCGACCCTCGAGCACGACACCGGCGAGGCCCCGCTCAGTACCAGAGCTATGCTTAATTAATGCATGCAGTCTCTTCAGCAAGGGTTTGCTGGTTGTATATTTTTTCATGAATAGCTCGTGAAGAACTTTTGTTTGTTAGTTTATTTGATAGTTAACGAATTTATTCATTCAAGGTCACATGTTCACCAACAATGCTCTGTTCACGAAGTCGAACCATACGGCCTTGGTCGAACCTCTGTTCACGAACTCTTCGTGAACGTTTTAACACTCATGAACAAATAATCATTTTTTATATGTATCTTTTGTATTATTGCTGTCATATCTTACTCACGCGGTTGCAGGCCTCTGTTATGCGTAAAAATGCACCAATTTTATCTCATGCATATAGATTCGTGATTTATCGTTCTCCTCGCAAGACTGGGCTTACGTTTTGTATTTTGGACCTTGCATGACGTCTTGTAATACGTCACTAAGGTCAATTGGTTCAATCGGAGTTTTTCGCCAATGTCTCCCGATCAAATTGAGCTAGCGGGTCAATTGAGACATCAATTGACTCAGAAAGAACATAGCCGTGTTTTTAGGCTATAGAGGTGATATTTCTTTTTGTTTCTTTTTCTTTTGGTGTTCGATATACCTGTCGATTTTTATCTGTCAGGGACGTCGTATGGCTTTCCGTTCCGATTCCGGGACGTCACAAATTGTTTGGGTGTGGGTTTCCACCCAAATTCACGAAAAGCAGGACACTGTTGACACCTACCACGAATACCCGGCAGGGCCCCACAGGTTGACCTGACCTGACCTGACCCGACCTGAGGTTCCGATTTTCCCGACTTTTGGGTCATTGACCTGACCTGAAAGGTCAACCAATGACTTAGGACCTAAAATTGGGCATCATCGGCTTCCACACGTCACGGGCAACACGCTCGTTTTTTTTTTTTCAGCGAAGCTCTAGCTCGATCAGGGGCGAAACGGCAGGGGGGATGGTCCAACCCCCCCCCCTTAAATATTCGCGGCTGGCAAAACACCAATACGGGCGAGGGCTAAGGTCCTAGATCATTGGTAGACCTACCACATAAGGTCAATGGCCCAAAAGTCGGGAAAATGGGCATCTGATAGTACTTAACCCGTGCCGGGCCGGAGGGGGGGGGGTGTTTGAACACCCCCCCCCCGCGGTTTTTCGCAGATATCTAAAAAAAACGGCGGCGCTCCGCCGTTTTCGGCAGGTGGGTGACGGCACGTGATCGCCTGAGGCGGTGGGGGGTAAAAATGTTTTCGTCATTTAATGCTCTATGCAATCGCTGCGACTTTTTACAAGACCTTCTCCTCGTCGTTGTTTCTTGCTTTCAACGACTGGTCCCCGAGTGATAACTATCCTCACGCAAAATAGGATGAATGGAGCTAGCAACTAAGCCCAAAAAAACATATCGAAAATGTTACAAAACACTTCTTTTGAAGGAGATGAATTGAATGGTTTTGGAGCCTCACGAAGCATGTTTCAGATATGCTGCGTGACGCAAACTGACGCATAAAGACTGTGTTCAAAAGTGTGCTCGCAGGCACTTCTTGACGAATGAAAAGCGTAGGTACTGCTCGGTCGCCATAGCAACAAGTAAGCGTCACAAATTTCGAACACTATTTGAGTGCGCCAGGTTCGACTACATCGAGGACGATGGGTGATGGTTGCCAGCTGATTTAATAAATGAAACGCGAATAAATTCAACTTTCGTTTGAGATTGAGAGTAAAATCTGTTTGTTAATTTGAAATATCATTGAATTAGTTTATCTACTATTATAAATCTTAAAAAGTCCGCCGCCGTCGGGGTTACGCAGCCGGCGTTACTCCCAAAAACGCCTATTGCAGAGCCGTCGATTGACGCACGAGGGTGAAATTTTCACGACTCGTGGGTCACGTAATTCAACAGGTCGTATTAAATTTTGGGCACGATTCGGCCGGGGGTGCACCCGTGGCGCGTGCTCATGTGCGGCATGGGGTTAGCATTAGAATCGCGACCGGCGCCGAGCAGAGGGCACGTGCTTTAGGCTCAGTTGTTCGCTTAAAAAACTGAGTGGAAACAATCACAGCCGGCAGGTCATTGACCTTTGACAACAAAGGCCAACACAAGGCACCGCTCGCCAAGGGGATTCGCCAGTAAATACGATAAATTTGTTTTTGCAATATCTCAGCCGTTTCTGGGCCGATTTAGCTGAAACTTGGACTGTCGGTGGTAGTGTAGTTTAGGGTAGGGTAGGGTAGGGTAGGGTATGGGTAGGGGTAGGGTAGGGTAGGGTAGGTTAGTGTAGGAGTAGGGTAGGGTAGGGTAGGGTAGGGTAGGGTAGGGTAGGGTAGGGTAGGGTAGGGTAGGGTAGGGGTAGGATAGGGTAGGGGTAGGGTAGGGTAGGGTAGGGTAAGGTAGGGTAGGGTAGGGTAGGGTAGGGAATGGTAGGGTAGGGTAGGGTATGGTAAGGTAGGGTGGGGGTAGGGTAGGGTAGGGTAGTGTAGGAGTAGGGTATGGTAGGGTAGGGTAGGGTAGGGTAGGGTAGGGTAGGGTAGGGTAGGGTAGGGTAGGGGCAGGGTAGTGAGGGTAGGGTAGGGTAGGTTAGGGTAGTGTAGGGTAGGGTAGGGTAGGGTAGTAGGGTAGGGCAGGTCAGGGTAGTGTAGGGTAGGGTAGGGTACGGTAAGGTAGGGTAGGGTAGGGTAAGGGTAGGGTAGGGTAGGGTAGGGTAGTGTAAGGGTAGGGTAGGGTAGGGTAAGGTAGGGTAGGGTAGGGTAGTAGGGTAGGGTAGGAACTAGGGTAGGGTAGGGTAGGGTAGGGTAGGGTAGGGTAGGGTAAGGTAGGGTAGGGTAGGGTAGGGTAGTAGGGTAGGGTAGGGTAGGGTAGGGTAGGGTAGGGTAGGGTAGGGTAGAGTTAGGTAGGGTAGGGTAGGGTAGGATAGTAGGGTAGGTTAGGATAGTAGGGTAGGGTAGGGTAGGGTAGGGTAGGGTAGGGTAGGGTAGAGTAGAGTAGGGTAAGGTAGGGTATGGTAGGGTAGGGTAGGGTAGGGTAGTAGGGTATGGTAGGGTAGTAGGGTAGGGTAGGGTAGGGTAGGGTAGGGTAGGGTAGGGTAGGGTAGGGTAGGGTAGGGTAGGGTAGGGTAGGGTAGGGTGTAGGGTAGGATAGGGTAGGGTAGGGGTAGGGTAGGGGTAGGGTTGAGTTAAAAAAGGGCCCAACATACAAAACACTTGAACATCCCGCAACTATCACCATCCCTTACAGTTCAATTAAAAACAGCTACCCAAATCTACCCAAATAATACAGCTAAAAATACAAGTCAATCACCCAAACGAATACACCCGTAACATAACATAAATCAAAACATACAGTTATCGCGTAAACCTGTACCTCTAGTCTACTATTATAAATCTTAAAAAGTCCCACGCCGCCGTCGGGGTTACTCCCTAAAAGGCTTATTACGGCGCCGTCGATTGACGCAGGAGGGTGAAATTTTTACCACTCGTGGGTCACGTCATTCAACAGGTCGTAATAAATTTTGGGCACGATGCGGCCGGGGGTGCGCCCGTGGCGCGTGCTCATGTGCGCCATAGGGTTAGCATTAGAATCGGCAAAAACAGGCTATTGCTCGGGAACGGTAAGGGCTACGGGGGTGAAATTTTCGCTGCAAGTCGAGCGCGTGCATTCATTTGTCGTATTAAATTCTTGAGGGTGTGGGTTCAGCGGTGTGCACGTGATGGGGCCGCGACCGGCGCCGAGCAGAGGGCACGTGCTTTAGGCTCAGTTGTTCGCTTAAAAACTGACTGGAAATAATCAGCGCCGGAAGGTCATTGACCTTTGACAACGAATACCGGCGCCGGGCACCCCTCGCCAAGGGGATTCGCCAGTAAATACGATAAATTTGTGTTTGCAATATCTCAGCCGTTTCTGGGCCGATTTAGCTGAAACTTGGATTGTCGGTGGCAGTGTAGGGTAGGGTAGGGTAGGGTAAAGTAGGGTAGGGTAGGGTAGGGTAAAGTAGGGTAGGGTGGGGTAGGGTAGGGTAGGGTAGGGTAGGGTAGGGTAGGGTAAAGTAGGGTAGGGTAGGGTAGGGTAGGGTAGGGTAGGGTAGGGTTGGGTAGGGGATTGTAGGGTAGGGTAGGGTAGGGGATTGTAGGGTAGGGGTAGGGTAGGGTAGGGTAGGGTAGGGTAGTGTAAGGGTAGGGTAGGGTAGGGTAGGGTAGTGTAAGGGTAGGGTAGGGTAGGGTAGGGAAGGGTAGGGTAGGGTAGTGTAGGAGTAGGGTAGGGTAGGGTAGGGTGGGGTAGGGTAGGGTAGGGTAGGGTAGTGTAGTGTAAAGGTAGGGTAGTGTAAAGGTAGGGTAGGGTAGGTTAGGGTAGTGTAGGAGTAGGGTAGGGTAGGGTAGGGTAGGGTAAGTGTAGGGTAGGGTAGGGTAGGGTAGGGGATTGTAGGGTAGGGTAGGGTAATATAGGGTAGGGTAGGTGATTATAGGCTAGCGTAGGGTAGGGTACGGTAGGGTAGGGGTAGGGTAGGGTAGGGTAGGGTAGTGTAGGGGTAGGGTAGGGTAGGGTAGGGGATTGTAGGGTAGGGTAGGGTAGGGTAGGGTAGGGGATTGTAGGGTAGGGTAGGGTAGGGTAGTGTTAGGGTAGGGTAGGGTAGGGTAGGGTAGGGTAGTGTAAGTGTAGGGTAGGGTAGGGTAGTGTAAAGGTAGGGTAGGGTAGGGAAGGGTAGTGTAGGAGTAGGGTAGGGTAGGGTAGGGTGGGGTAGTGTAGGGGTAGGGTAGGGTAGGGTAGGGTAGGGGTAGGGTAGGGTAGGGTAAGGTACTACCATACAAAACACTTGAACACCCCGCACCTATCACCAACCCCTACAGTTTAATTAAAAACAGCTACCCAAATCTATCCAAATAATACATCTTAAAATACAAGTCAATCACCCAAACTAA